CTGACCGTTGGTTCTTGTTTAGGGGTGTAGGTCTCACTTTGATCAGCTTTGCCTGGGAAATGATCCTTTAGATTTGCTATTATGGGTGTGGTTTGGGTTTGGATGTGTGGTGTCGCAACTGGCTTGAGGCTTGGTCGAAAATGTACATCAGATCCTGGCGTAAAGATCTTGGAGTAGGAGTCTATGGTCGGTGAATGCTGAAGGAGTTTCGTCTCCGTGTTATCATTGGAGGTTTCTAGAATGGGCGTGGTTTGGCTGCCGTGTGAGGCACCCTTCACATATTCTCTTGTGCGCGTTACTGGGTCGTCAGCAGGAACATCTATCTCACTAAGACCCTCGCCATCATCTTGGATCGCTGCAGCCTCCAAAACTTCTGCTTTTGCTTCTGCAGCTGCAGCCCTTTTTTCCATGCGTACTTTATCTAATGACGCTTCAAGACGTATTTTTCGAAGCTGCATAGAAGCTTCCAGTTCCGCTTGCTGCAGCTTCAGATCGTTCTCTTTATCCACAAATGCTGCTTCAGCCTTAGCCGCCTCAGCTTCTGCACGTGCTTGTGCAGCGGCTGCCTTACTTGCAGCTGAGCTCCTGGTATGCCTGGAGGAGCCAGATATATTAGATCTGGTTTTCATTGATGCGCTGGTTCTCTGCGACATGTTGCTGTCGATTGGATTTCTTCCTACATCTGAGCTGTTTCCGGAGGATAGCTCTAATTGCTGTCCAGTTCCCCACGAGACTGGTCTTTGAGAGGCTGTCGTTTTACTGTCATGTCCTCTGCCTCTAACGCCTTGCTAGAGTCGACATTCAGACTAAACTCCTCTTCAAAATGACCACGCAGACAAGAGGGTTTGACTTCACTCCCTTTACTTAGGCCAGTTGAAGTAGGGTAAAACTGAGAAACAACATGACATGAAATGCTCTTAGAAACCATAGATGAGGAGAAATACAAAATAACAGTACAATGACTTGTTTAGCCGAAATCGTTAGCTAATTCCCTCTTTACAAACGTTTCTATTAAGCAAACACTGCAATCACATTTCTTCAAGTAGATTGTTCATTAGTAAAGATGGAACAGAATTACATACCGACAATGCCCTTAAAGACCGTCTTAAGGGAGACAATTGCCACTACAGCAGCAGACGGGAGAACGGGAGAAGTCCTTTCCCCAAACAATAACATGCGCTTTCTGATGACATCATAGAACAGAGACGGATTTGAGCACGTTACACCAGGTCATGCCAAAAGGGGGCACTAAAGAGTAACTTTCACAGGGAAAATCTATTTAAACAGAATACGGTTACATGGTGACAGAACATTTAGCAACCCACTTTTCTGCTATCTTTGAAAAGATAGGGAGTGGGAGCATGCTAATAGGTCGATAGTTAGCAGGGTCTATTTATCACCCAATTTATAAATTGGTGTAACTTTTGCCACCTTCCAACTCAGAGGAACGACTGCCTGCGTCATTGATAAATTAATAAGATGGGTCACAGGCACCAAAAGACAAGATTTATAATACTTCAAGAAATTGGTATGAAACCCACACTCATCCCTTGCTTTAGAACTTTTTAATTTAGAGATTATATTTTCTACTTCATTTTCTGTAATTTTTCAAATGTTGAACTTTGAATCTTCAGAAGAAACATCCTCTTTGGTGTCGGCATTCCCAATATTTTGTTGAGGGTCACAAGAATTAGAAAACAATTGTGCAATTTCATTAATAGTACTTTGGAAAATCATTTAAATTAGTAGCTAGGCTGAGAGGCTCTGATACCAGTTCATTGGCAAATTTAAGTTCAAGGTCTGTATCAGCATTATACTTACTGTTACCAAGGAGTTTGTTAATATTTTCCCAAATTATGTTACAGTTTCCTTTGGCACTATTAATTACAGTCATGAAAAAATTTGCTTTTGCTATTCTCAAAGTTTGTGTGACTTTATTCCTTGCAGATATAAAATGTAATCGATCAGTATTTAATCCAGATTGTAACGATTTTTTAAGTAACTGGTCTCTGAGTCTCATAAGCTGTTTACATTCAGTATTAATCCAAGGCAAGGAATAAACTCGTTTCTTTAAATGGCTCTCTTTCTGAAACTGTGACAAGACCCCTTTAATAGCAGAGTATAATAGATCACAACATTTATTAGTGTCATCATAGGATAGTATGCTAGTCCAATCAAAATTATTTAGAGCTGCCATTAAATGTTGTTCTTGACTATTTGGAATAAATGTTTTTTTTATATTCATGCTTTTACTGACACATCTCAGTTGCTTTTTAGTCAGCTTTCTAGAGAAGAATATTGCATTGTGGTCAGACAAGCCAGTCAAAAAGTTATGTTTTTATCATTCTATCCGGTTTGTTAGAAAACGCCAGGTCTATTAGAGTTCTAGAGCGATTTGTTATTCTAGTGGGATCATTGATCATTTGTTTTAAACCAAAATTATCTGTGATTTCTTTTAGTTTCTTTCTGTCGCTTTTGTTATCCCAATTTACATTTAAGTCTCCCATTAGAATAAGTTCATTGTTGAAGTCGCAAGAATTCAGAAGTGCCTTGAATTGGTCATAAAAATCTACTTTTGCTAAAGGTGGGCGATAAAGACATAAAACAGTAAATGACATCTCTGCTGAGAGTGACACTTTAACTCCAACACATTCAACAGAGATTTCATTGGGCCAGATTATTTGTGTACATTTTAGAGAGTCCTTCATATACAATAACACCCCTCCCCCCTTTCCCTGATGCCTATCTTTTCTGAAGACATGGTAGCCTTGTAGAGTTACCAGTGCTTGTGGAGAAGAGGGTTTGAGCCAAGTTTCCGAAAGTCCCATGAAATCAACATTTGAATTAATGAGAAGATGTTCCAGTTGTTCCCTCTTAGGGGCCATGCTGCGTATGTTCAGATGGCCACCTAGGAGCCCTTTGTCTTTACACTGTGGATCCCATATAGTCCTAGCTTGATTAAGAGTCCGAAATAACTTAAA